CTGGAGCCCTCAGCACAAGAAAGACACGGACCTGTTGGAGCAGGTCCAGAAGAGGGCCGTGAAAGTGATCAGGGGGATGGAACACCTCTCCTATGAAGAAAGGCTGAGAGAGTTGGGGTTGTTCAGCCTGGAGAAGAGAAGGCTTTGGGGAGACCTTATGGCAGCCTATCAGTACTTAAAGGGGGCTTATAAAAAAGATGGCAGCAGACTTTTTAGCAGGGCCTGTTGTCCCTTCCAACTCAAACTATTCTATTCTACAGTTCTAGTTCCAACCCTGAAGTTCTCACCTACTAAGAATGTAATTTAAATTCAGGATCCTTCACAGGCATCACTTTATGCTATACAGAAGATATCACACCTTTAAACAAGAGGTTTGCAAGTAAGCCTTGCTCCATTCCATTCCCAGGCAAGGAGTCTTTTGACACTAAGTAGCAGCAATGTGAGCTGCTAGCATATAAAACATCAAAACCACCATTTAAGGATGTGGGCAATTTGCACATCCATCATTAAGACCCTGCGGCTCACTTCTGTGTGCCTGTAGCAGCCTCTTAATTGGGACAAGCATGTAATCCTTAAGCAACTTTAATAAGGAATGCTAAATATGTGAAATCAGATCTGCAAGACAGAGATAAACACTTTGAATAACCATCCCACTAACTGATCAAGTATCAGTTATATCTTTCCACTCTTGGAACAAAAGGTCAGGAAACAGCTAAGTAAAGGACTTTTTATTTTGAAGCACTGAAGTCATTATCTATAGAGAAGACAGGCTTGTTTTCCACATCAATCAGCCTTCAGCTGAAGACAGCTAGGTGTAGCATCAGCCCAGTCTAGTTTCTTTGGCATCCTCAAACACATTTGGTATTCTTCACAGTGAAGAGCAGAGATTGCTTTGAGGTTTGATCAGTCCAGGACTAAAAGCAGTGGATCCAGTAGCCAAGGCTACCATGCTGAAGCAGGGTACTTTACAGATTTAACCATTCTACTACCTAATGCCTTAAGAGCAAGCCACCTGCTACGGGAAGAAGTGCTGGTCATTCAGATCCAAAAGGCAAAGCAACCTTCATTGAAAAGCACAGAAGTCAGCCAGAGACTTTTCAGTAAGAAGGAAGCCAAAGGATCAGTGTTGGGTTTTAAGCAGCCTCTTAGCTTGACTCATTTTGTGCCACTAAATGGCCCCTACCCCAGGGAGAGTAAGTTGTCAGCAAGCACTAATTGAAATGAGGAACAGCCATGAAGCATGGCCCAGTGAATTCACCAAGACAGAGGTATACATTCTGGCAGTCATTTTTTAGAAGTCATACTCTTCCGGCAGGTTTCCCTTGTTTTGGGGGAATTTGCTTTGAAATTAACAAACTGTGTGTAGAATAGTCAGTAGAAAAGATCAAGACTTAAAAAAAATCCCATTCTTGCAGTCTCAGAAGTACAGCATCACCTCTCTAGGCCTGAGTATGGACATTTCTCCTTCTTTTTAGTTTCTACTTTCAAAGGTACCTGAAGTCAAGAATAAAGGTTGACTGATGCTTTATAGAGCTGAACTGCAGGAAGTCCAAGAAGTAGGGCTTGAGAATCCACCTTGTGACTGCAGACACAGAATTGCAGTTTGACGACAAAACTATTTAGAGGACAGCAGCTAAGACCTATAATCAAGAGTGACCAATGCCAAAAACATCCCTTTATATGTAACAGGTTATTCTCACACAACACACAAGTGAAAAAACTTCGACAGTCATAAATGCTGTCTCCAGCACACAGAGAATGATGACAGAAAAAAGCATCCTCAAAAAAGATGGTGATTATTCATTGTCATATCAGTATTTTCACTAATTGTGTAATAGCAGAATGCAGGTATGAGCACTGGTCATTAAACTACTTCGTGTTCCTCAAAAAAGATACAGGCTCTGGCTAAAGTCAGTCTCACTATGCAGCAGACCAGATGGTCAAATTTAGGAGAAGAGATCCCTAACTTAGCTCACTCTGCTCACCTTCAGCAAATGCAGATGTAGATGTAGATGAACTAAACACTTGGGAAATATTCCCCTTAGTATCTTTTTGCTGCCAGATTCTTGTTTTAAGCATCATCCTTGTACCAATGACACAGTAGTGTCTGCATCACTGTGGGAAAAGTGGCATAACATCTTTCTGCCATGCTAGAGGAGCAAATATGTCATCAGGACAAGAGAAGAAAGCATGCATTGCATATCAAAGACAAGTCCTGGGGTTGGTGCCAGAGCTGCCTGAACATTTTTAGGTCTTGTCCGCCACTATTTATGTACACAGTTGGGGAGCACCTCTCCAGCATACTCAAGCCGTCAACACAAACATGTGTAGCAGGGGCTGAAGCCACACGCAATCTGCATCAACTAAAGCTTTTGTCTTCCCACTGTTGCTGCTCGGGGAACACTGAGTCACAAAAAAGCTTTTACTTAGTGTGAGAAAAAATGTCCACGTTCTGCCACTACCTTTCGGTAATAAGAAAGCATTGGCTTCCATCCCTTAAACCAAAACATAGAGAACATGGAGCCTCTAAGAGGTGTAGTTTTAAACACACAGAAGTTAACCAGCACATTTAAGAGTTGCAACCAAGAACGTAAGTTAAAGATGTGTTCTTGAAAGCTGGATATTTGACGACTCCACAAAAAAAGACAGGAAATAAGAGTACCAAAATCAACATTTCTGAACAAAACTAATGAAATGTCGACTAAGTGGTAAATCAATGTCTTTTAATGAGACAAACTGAACTTTGCCAACCATCCTTTCATTCTTGTTTTAAAGTGCAGGCATCCATCTGGTAGTTCTTTCAAAGTTAAACAACTGGTCTAAATACATGCGACCTGTGCACCAGCTGTTGCTAAAATAAAGTACTGACAGAATACAGTTCACACTTGTTCATACAGTTCACACTTGCACTTTCAGACAGCACATATTGATTCAAGTGTGCATCCTAAAGAAATTGCTGAAGGCTGCAATGCAAAAGCAGCTTTAGCTACAAAGCTGAATAAACGTCGTCCACCCTTTTCACAAGGTACAAATTTAATTACCTGCATCCCTGAAAAAGGAAGTTTTACATCAACTAGGGCTAATGAAGTCATGACTCCAATGGAGTTGAATAAAAACTCAAATAAACCTTGTACAATCTGCTTTTCCACATCTGAATCTTCTTTCCAAAGACTCTAAAGCTCAGAAGATTTAAATAACCTGTTAGCATTTATAGCGCTCATACAAACCTGGATGAAAAGCAAATACAGGCATTTAATTTTGGTGTGTGGAATCTAGATAACAATGAACCTAATTTCCTTCTGACTAGCAACACCAGCATTGGTTTCTTCTGCCTTTATTCCATGATTTAAGAGAATTACAAAACACCATCTGACAGCTCACTGCTTGGAAAATGAAAAGATGCAGAAAATCCCAAAATCAACATACCTGTTATTTTGTCCCTGACAAGCTTGCAGGATTCTATTTCACCAATGCTGCCAAACAGACTCTTCAGCTCCTCTTGTGTCATGTTCTGTGGAAGGTAGTTGACTATTAAATTGGTCTTGCTGTCTTCTGTGTTCCCAGAATCAACTGGTGACGAGCAATTGTTTATGGTGGTTGAACCATGGGCTGTGTTATTGCAAGTTGGTCCATTAGACAGCTGTGTTTCCATGGCAGCAATTACCTGCTGAAAAACACAGAAAACGAGAACCATCAAAATTCCTATTTCACCATCTATTAGGAGAGCCCAGGCAAGAATGTAAAAGACCTGTCACTATGCAGACGTGGTATTGCCAGGGCCATATACTGCCTCTATATGCAAAAAAACCCCACCAATACAGAAGGATTTTAAACTCTAGTCAAGGCAATACTTTAAAAACTTACAGGCAAATAAAGTTGTCGCTAAAATCTTCTAGGACCTCTCTCAATGAAGTCAACACTCAAAGCTGAGTTTCCATCCTCCCCCATTCCCTTCATTTAGGGGTATCACATCCTTCTAGTATAGAAGTTACCAAGCAGAATTGGCCTGTTGCAAGGGTAATCAGTTCTATTAACTTACAACTGATAACTGAAATGATATGAAATGTAGCTTTTAAAGTGATAGTATTTGGTTATTTTCAAAAGGAGGTGGGTGTTAACTGTATCCTGAGCCTATTTCTCATAAGCAATAGCAGAAAGCAAGACTAGTAATTTAAAGAGATACTTAAAGAGATATATGAATGTGCTGGGATGGAAAACAAACTCTTCCTTGATAACCTCTAGGTCAACCTTCTGTCACCACAGGTTGAAAGTAGGTTTCTAAATGCTTTTATTTGATTAAACTGACAATTCCTGGTTCTCACTTCTTCCCTCGCCTGCACGCTGAACACAGTTAAATTTGATGCTTTAACTTTATTTACTTTTAGACATCAAAATAAGGGAGTGATCACCACCCCAGGAACTACTGTGTTTCACCTCAAAGTAACTGACTGTAGGATCGGCAGATACAGCAGCAATCATTTGGAGAAGCACCAGTACTTGCCCACAAGCTACCACATGTACAAAAGGCTCTCTGCCATCTCAGTCAGTCACTGAATGGTAACAGTTGGTAAATAACAGTGGATTTTTAATGGCAGCCTAATATCCAACACTTGGGCAGCCTACCCTGTTTGAGACCAACTATAAAGGACAACATCCAACAGAAAATTCTATAAATTACTTCCCCAGTAATAAACATTTCAACACAGAAGCAAGACTCAAAGTTTCACTAAAAAATCCAGCAATCACTGAAATCCAACCTCATACTTAAATTTCTAGGTGTTCTCGCACAAAAAGCCTATTGTAAAATTGCAGTGTCATGTCAGGACCTCTGGACCTTATCTGTCCTAACTGTCCTGTTCAAAGCAGCATATGCAATCAATGCATACCCAAACAGCTGATTAGGTCAACTGTACTCAGGGAATGCAAATTTGAATTTCCTAAAAACATGAGAGGGGGTAAGTTGAGTGTCTTAAACTACAATTCAGACATCCCTGGGAACACATTTCTGTGTTCTGCATACAGAAGTATTTTCCAAGAGGTTACTTCAGCACAACGCAAAAAAGGGAAGATGCATCTGTTAAGAACATTTAATGTAAAAATGTGATTGAGTTTTCCTGAGGAGCTACAACTGGAACAACATTTTCTTCCCTTGTGACAAACTCCAAGGGGTAACCTGCTCCTGGCACTGTGATGAAACAAGTCTGCTGGAAAGATGAGAAAGTAGATAAACCCAATTAAGATAAATTACCTTTCAAAACACTAGTATATCTGGCAGAGTTAGTAGCCACCAATGCTATGCTCTGACTGAGGCTCTCTAGGATGGCTTTTTCCTCCTCTTTTTCTTTTTTCTCAAATTTAAAGTGTTCACTGATCAAAATTAGCAGGATTTAGCAAGGACAACAAACAATCCTCACTTAATTGTACATTTATTTTCATGTTCAGGTGGCAAGAATGAGATCCTAAGCCAACATTCAAGTGAACAGCTGCAGTAGCCTGTGTGTGCTGAAATTACAGCATTTCTCAGCTATAGAACCATCTGCTCTGAATAAAGTGATACTAATATGTTTTACAAATAATGCATATTCCATTGATAGGTTGAATACAACTGTTCATGAAACACAAAGCACTTCTTCAGCAGTTACTAAATATTTTCCACCCAGAAAAATAGTTTAAGAGATAAATTTACAGTTTTCAAACAATTTCTTAGAATAAGACTTGTAAATATAGTTTTAAAATAGTAATCATAAATACACAGTATACAGGTTTTTAAAGTTACTGCAATTTAGTATTCAGACCATACCAAAACCATTGTAGTACAATACTACTCTTCAATTATCCACCAGGTAGTTTGAATTAGTTCTAAAATCTAATTGACATTAGAAGAAAGGCAAGCCACTGCAGTATAATTTCTACAGGAGATCACCATATTATAGAAAAAGTTGTCATGGTACGCCAGTGCACTCTAGGCTCTCACAGAATAGGGACACAACCTACAGCCTATAATGAAACATAGAAGAGAGTTAACATTCCAAATGGGAGATTAAAGAGTTTGGTATGGCCTCAGCACTATTAACATGTAAAAAAGTAGCCTACAGAATTTAAGAAAAATCCCACAGACCCCAGTCCAAGGCTCTGCTGCCCACGAACCACTTCTAAGCAGAGAAGCCACATCACACAGTCTGACTGCCATGTTAGTTTGGAGTTGCCGTCTGCAATATGGACACAAAAAGTACCGTATGTTAGATTAGCAAGATAATGCAACAAATCAGTTTGTACAAATTTACAGTAATTGCATTTATATTCCCAACACGTCCATGCAGTGTGGCTTAATTGGATTTGAGGCAATTCCAATCTAATCTTTCCAAATTCAGTTCTAAAATTATTTTTCTTACATGAAATAAGATGCTTATTTAAGATTTAAAAGATAATGCAGTCTAGTTACCCCTACATCTACCTTGGAAACTACCTCCAGAACCACACCATGCCTAAAAGGAACTATACCACAAAACAAACTTTTAAATCTTCAAGACTGAAGGAACAGGAAAGAAAATACAGTGAGTTGATTTTCCATTCGCACACAAGATGACCATGCACCACTGAAAAAACAGCTCCCCTTACACACCTTTCCCAGACAACAAAAAAATACACGAGACAGACTACTTTGTTAGAATCCAATCTGTTCTTAAAATCCTAGGTTTTAAAAATTAAGTAAATTAAAATCTTGCATAGATTGTATTCAGTAAGTTTCCTTGCAACTGGTATTTAAGAATACCACTGGACATACAAGTGGCAGTAGAGTCAAGGATTTCTCAAGTGGAATAACTGGAACAAAATATGCATGAGCTAGTACTTCATATTTTTGTCCCCAAGCACATTGTTGTTTGTTTTTAAATAAAACATCATTGCAAACCCAGTTGGGTTTGAATTGAACAGTGCTAGGAGGATATCAGAAAAGCTAATGGGCCATTTGCAGATGATTGTAGCCAAGTAGTCCAGATGTTAAATATAACCACAATACTGGCACAAATAGGAAGACTCCTGACTGTTGCCACAGCTTGAGACTGGTGTAAATACAAGATATCCTTCTTGCCCCCGGTTAGCAGATGAGGTTAAGTCTAAACTTGATAAAAAACAAGGATTCAGCTTTTGGAAGGCTGCTGCATCCAGGGTTTATAAACACATACTTCAATACAACTTCTCCTGTTTTAAAACCGTGTAAATTAGTCTTCATTTCAGTTTGCTACCAAAGTCCATATGGTAGCTGACTTCATGTCTGGTCTTTATTTCTAACTTAGGTTGATAGAGACCTCTAATCATCTCTTTTTACGCAAAATACTGAGGCTTTGGTATCAGCTGCAAGCTTGCAAGCATGCCAACAACTGCACTTCTGAAGCTCTCCACTGTATACAGACAAGTATGTTTGATGAACTGCTTATTACCTGAAGAAAAACTGAGAGTCTCAACTGACTTTTTTTAGGTCCAGACAAGTTTTAAGGAGACTGCATTAAAGTAGCAATCTACAAAAGTCTCTGTCCTACAGAGACTGTAGTGATGTGCGTAAGATGACATATTTGGATCTTTACGGCTCTCTGCCCTGGTTTTGGCTGGGATAGAGTTAATTTCCTTCCTAGTAGCTGGTCCAGTGCTGTGTTTTGGATTTAGGATGAGAACAATGTCGATAACACACCCATGTTTTAGTCGTTGCTAAGCAGTGCTTACACTAGTCAAGGACTTTCCAGCTTCCCATGCTCTACCGACTGAGAAGGCTGGGGGTGCACAAGAAGCTGGGAGGGGGCACAGCCAGGACAGCTGACCCAAACTGGCCACAGGGACATTCCGTACCATACGACCTCATGCCCATAAACTGGGGAAAGCTGGCCAGGGGGGCCGCTGCTCAGGGACTGGCCGGGCATCAGTCAGCGGGTGGTCAGCATTGTGCATCACTTGCTTTGTATATTCTTATTATTATTTTATGTTATTGCAATTACACTGTCTTTATCTCAACCCATAAGTTCTCACTTTTACTCTTCTGATTTTCTCCCCGAACCCACCGGGGAGCCGGGAGGGAGAATGAGTGAGCAGCTGTGTGGTGCTCAGTTGCCAGCTAAGGTTAAACCACAACACTCTCAAAGCAGCATGACCTGATAGATTATTTGCTTCCTGTGAGCCATGGGCTGAAGATGGAAAACTCCAATAGGACAGCTTACGTGTGTGCACAGGACTTCAGCGTACTCGCTACATAGACTTCACTATGCCCTTGAGCATCACAGCACTTCTCAAAAAAGCAAAGAGCACCTCTCATTTGAAGTACTTCCAGTTTGCGTAACACATCTCTCTTCACTGAAGCGTTCCACACGGTACTCACATCAATGTACAGCAAGTCAGTTCTTTAACTACCACACCATTATGTCTCAAAACCAAGTTTTGCTCTACCAATTCTTTTACCATTTTTATTATTTTCAAAGCTGTACAGAATGCTTTTACATCTAGTTTGAAAAACTAGAGTTCTTACCCTTTTACTTATACTTCTACCTGACCTGAAAAAAGTGATATAGCTAATTACAAAGAAAAAAGTTTTTTAAAAATCAGTTTCCAGCCTAAACACTGTACTTTAAGATGAAAATGGCACATTAACATAGAATTCCAGCTGTG